CCAGATTAATCTGGATGATGACGATATGTGACCAAGTCACAACCAATCACAATTAATATAGAATTAGTTACAGCCAATCACAGTAAACACATAATTGTTCACAGAGGGTCACAACGAAGAAATCTTCATGCTCGGCATACACTCACCACCACCACTACAACCTTCAACTCAAGTCTAACTTCACCCCAAATTAACAACAATAATCATCATCACCGTCACCATCACTTCCACTAATACCTCATGCAATTCCAATCATCGCCACCGTTGACATCACTGTACCACCACCACCACCAAATGTAAATCAGCACAACTGTAGATTCACACCACCCATAGATCCACCATGGACACTAATCAAATGTCGTGCTACCTCACCCCGTCACCACCAGTAGCACCACTAATGCAAACACCACCACAACTACCACCTAAATAGTAACACCACCATCATTAAATTCTCAACCACCAAGTCCTGAACCAACTCTACTTTTACCAACAATTTATTTTTTCCCCACATTTACAAATGTACTCACCTTTACCACCACCTTACTCACCTTGAACACCTAAATTCCCTCCTTCTCTAGTACAGTCAACACCATCAAGATTAGCTCGAGTCAAGCTGATTAATTGGACCACCAGAAGCCGCAAGCGCACTGGAACCTCCTTTAAAATCACCAGTAAAAGCTCTTTTTTTGGTAACCATGAACCGATCGACCAAGAATGTGAACTTAGCTTGAGCTAATTCGTGAAAATCTTCTGGCTCCAACAGGACTGGCCTTTGATGGTGGTGGCTAGTACTCCATCAGCAGCTTCACGGATAACTAGATGACAAAATATAGAGAGGGGGTGGATTGGGTGGAGATGGTGATATAAGAGAGAGAGAGAGAGAGAGAGAGAGAGAGAGAGAGAGAGAGAGAGAGAGAGAGAGGGGAGAGAGAGAAGAAAGAGAGAGAGAGAGAGAGAGAGAGAGAGAGAGAGGGAAGAGAGAGAAGAAAGGGTTAGAAATTAATGCCCCGTTTGGAAGCAATTTTGAGAATTGATTTTATGATTGTTAGGAGAAAAGTGGGAGCCACCTATAAAAGAAGAAGTCAAATTTTACAACTGTAATAATGAAATAACGGTCAAAAAATCAATTTTTTCGAGTGAAAAATCACTCTCAAACACCCCCTAAATTGGGTTTTGAATGAAATGGGGGTGGTCGGGGGTTGAATATTTAGACTAAAATTTAATTTTATAATATTATTATTAATATTTAAATAATGAAATAACACTTGATTTGTGAAAAGAAGAGTTTTAAGATTTAATATTTAAAATGTATACTTAATGGGTAGGTTTTTAGGCAATGTTCTCTCCACAAAAAAAAGTACAGATAAAAACTTAATTATGTTCGTCATGTTCTTTATATTTATATCAGAGGCCAGGGAGCCACTCCCTTCACCCGTATTGACGAGAATTTGACTTCACGAGAAATTGGACAAAAAGCTGTCGAATTTGCATATTTTGCCTCTATTCAAGTAAATTATTGGACCAAATTAGATCAACAAAAAGTTTTTCCTGAGAGCGATTATGCAGATTCTTTAGGTCCACTTACTTACTAATTAGATGATATCTTACTCTTACAAATTTTTAATTGTATATAGTTCAAAACTTCATATATGACGAAGATATTTCATTTAAAAAAGAAATTCTTATATGCCAAAAATTATTAACGTTTTTAAGTGCAGAATGTATGTTACCACTGTGAAAGAATTCATTGGTCCAAGATAGGAATGGCAATTCGAACTGTCAAAACTGAAAACCGTGGTTAACCGAACCGAATGGGACGAAAAAAATCGAACCGATGGTGCAATGGGGCGGGTATGGTATTTGATATTGCTGAACCGCTATGGGGCGGGGCGGGTATGGTATTTACACCCTTGCCCCGAAACCGAACCTATTACCCGTAAAAAAAATAAAAAATAATAATAATAATTATTGGACTTTCCACTATTTTTATCCAGCCCAAAATAAAATTCTGCCCAGCCCAATACATTCACTATACCAGTCGTCCAGCCCAACTCCCCACAGCCTAGTTACCATAACCCATAAGAAATTATAGAATCGGGTTCGGGACCTTCGGGTATATGACTTATGAGAGTGTAATTGTGTGAACCCTACTTCTTACCCTTACTTCACAAATCAGTGAAATCAAACAGACAAACACAGGCCACACTCACGCAGCCGGCAACCATAGCTCCACGCCTGACGCCTCATCGCCTCCAGAGTCCAGACAGTTAACTTCACGACATCACCGGTTCACCCTACAACAAAAACGCACACAGCCACTGTTCCTGCCTCCAACAGTCCTACCACTATTTGAGGTAAATGAAATACCGAATCATCTTCTTCTGCTTTCGCTGTATTTGAATTTTTCTATATTTGAAGGAACTGAAGTGCACGCCCATGTTGAAGTATGGATTTAATTCACTGCATTAGTATTATGGGACATTAGGGAAAATGGGTTTTGCAAAGAAAGTGTTTGATGAAATGATTGAAAGAAGTTAGGCTTTGTTTTCTAAGTAGTTAATATAAATTGAGGACATGAAAGAATTCGTCTGAATACTGAACCTTTTTAGGGGCATTCTTCAATTGTTCGTAGCATCTATCCACATAATCGTCTATCCACGATGTCTCAAGGCTTGTAATGAGTGTTCATAAGTGGTTAACTAGTTTCTGTTGCATTTTATCTATGTAATTTTAGCCATTATATCATTTGGTTGAAAAGTCAGAAATGCTTTTGTTAATGTAGACAAAGGCATTGCAACTTTGGACTGATTAAAGCATTAAGGCAACTATATGTTCCTGACATTCAAGATTTAATTGATATGTCATGAATTCAATCCTTGTTCCCCTAATTCTGCATGTATTTTTACCTTGTAATGCAATTGAATTCTTAATAATATCGGATATAAACACACACGCACAGACGCACACACGAGCTACCTATAGAGTAAGATGGGACTGGACAATTTTGTGCCTTTTGACACTGAATTGATTTCACAGGTTTAATTCTTTGCTCCTCTAGGAGATGTTATGATATGGAAAATAAATCTTTATTTGCTACATTGGGTGCTTATATTTGTTTTTACCACAATTTTAAATGACATCCATGTGCTTGTAATTTTTCTAAACCACTATATTGGCATCACATCTCCACAGGTTCAATCTGTATTTTCTGATTAGATATAGATATGACCTTCCTTTGTTTCTTTAACTTCTTCTATTATGCAGTTCCTTTCCTTAAAAATTGAGTGCCACCAACTAATTCCCATCACTTCACGCCTTTCATTCTCTTCTAAATTGTTTTAGATTGAAAACCTCAATTGAAATGATGCAATATGGTTAAGACTTTCTTTATGGAACCAAGTCCATTAGTTGCTTCTTTAATTGGTTTGAATGGCCATATAATTTGTACTTTCCCAATATTTGTGACATAAAGTTGGCAATCCGTGATTGGAGCGCATCATCTTGCGATGAAATCAAATGGATGGCGTCAAGCATGAAGGAAAAATTTGATAAATATTGAAGTGGCATGTATGAAATTCTAGCTGTTGCAACTATATTGGATCCTAGATACAAGATGAAACTAGTTGAATACTATTTTCCTTTGATTTTTGGAGATGAAGCTCAGGAAGAGGTTGAAAAGGTTAGAGCATTTGGTCATAAGTTGCTCAAAGAGTACAAGAGACCACATCGTTCGACAGAAAATACATATTTGTTTCCATCATCTTCACAATCAGAGTCGTCTACTACTAGTGGAAAACATTCTCGCATGGCTGGTTTTGATACATTTGTTAGCCTTTCTGTTACTGCTGATCATGTAAAAACAGAATTCGATGTTTTTCTAGATGAGCCAGTATTGCCTAGGGTGGACGGTTTTGATCTATTGACATGGTGGAAAGCAAATTCAATAAAATATCCGACTTTACAGAAGGTTGCAAGAGATTTATTAGCCATTCCAGTATCTACTGTTGCATCCGAGTCAGCATTTAGTACAAGTGGTAGATTTGTGAGCCCACATAGAAATAGGCTTCACCCGAAGACTTTAGAAGCTTTAATGTGTGCTCGAGATTGGCTTTGGTCTGATATTCATGGTAGGATGTATTGTTTTATGTTTGTTATTTATGCACTTTCTTTTATTGCTAATTTTTTCCTCTTTTGTGTGTAGAAAATTCTGGTCCTTCATCATATTCCGGAGCTTGTGCAAAGTTTGATGACGAGGATGTTGACGAAGAGGTACATTTTTTTGTTTAAATATTTAATTAAAAACATTATGGATTATTGATTTATTACTCTACTTACATTTCTTATATACTATATAGGAATCGACTTTGAGTTTTGACGGATGCCAGTAAGAGTTGTAGAGAAGAATGAAGATTGAATATGAATTGAAGTTGAAGCTTTTTTGAGTTATTGAATATTGTTTGTTAAATTTGGATTTTGTGTAACTGTGTTTGAGAATTGGGATTTTTTTGCATTTTCATTTGGGATGTATTGTTGTTCGCTACATTAACTTAGTATCATGTTTTTGTTTTTATTTTAATTCGACGGATGGATCAATTAAAAATAATTTATTTTTGTGGTTATTAACGACCCGAGCCGAGCTGAACCGAGATACGAACCGAAATCGAACCGACTTTCGTGATTATGGTGCGGTTATGGTATGACCAAAAAATTGATGGTTCGGTGATGATTTTGGACGAACCGATCCCGAACCGACCAAGTCCAACAATGTACGAATGTATACCATGATTTATAGGGCGTCGCACTGGATTTCTCCCTCTCCCACAACAGTGGAAATGCAGAGGCCAAACGGACCAATCAAAAACCAGAGAAAACGAGTGGAAGAAAAGAGACAACACGTGGCAGGAACCCATGTGCCTAACGGGCTAATGCATACATTACAATGAAACCCCGTCACAAACTAGCAAACAACAAGCAGATAATACTCATAAAACTTTATAAATTAATTTATTCAAGAATTAAATATATAATAAATTGTCAGTGCGTTGGAATGAATTATGATTGAAAAAGAAAATTATATATCATAACATATTCTACTATTATCTATTAGTATTATTATAGTATTATACTAATCATAGGTAGCACACTGGAGTAGTGGTAGTCTGTCTTGTTTTGTGTATGCATATATAGAGAGAGGAGAGGGGAGTTTGCATTTGTGGGCTTCGTTTTGCATCTAATAGAAATGGAGGAAATTGGGTTTTTGGGGATGGGAATAATGGGAAAGGCCATGTCAATGAACTTGCTTCGCCATGGATTTAAGCTTACTGTCTGGAATCGCACTCTGTCTAGGGTAAATTATTTTACAGTACTTGTTATCTAACGGATTATTGATCTATTTTTTCTGATAATATTTGTGTGTTTTCATAAATATATTTTATCAGATTCATGATAATCTTGTATGAAAATTGGGTCTTTTTCTTTTTCCTTCCTTTTTTTTCAGTGTTTGTTTTTTACAGATATTATTTGAGTGAGTATCTGAATATTATGGATTATTCAGAACTATATTTATTGATCAAACAATTAGTTACTGGGGAGGGGAAGATTAACTAATGAGGTTTAAAAGTCTCTTATGTAATGCGTGATTGGAATATTTTTCCTATTTTGATTTATGACTAATTCTTAAATTCAATTTTCATTGTTATTGATAATTTCTTTTATGACCCTCTACAAAAGAAATTGTTTACCTCCAACGATGGATAAGCTAAAGAATTATTTGTCCGATCCAAAAATTTCTTCCTCGATCCCGTTTTATTGTGTTACAACATTTCGGAGAAGCAGCAACTGAAAGCTTTAACTTCTTTAATTCTATAGTTACTTAGATACAAATTCATATAAACAATCACCTTTGTGTCTAAATAATTTAGCACCTTTCCGAGAAATTATTTTATCTTACCTATATGCAGTGCGATGAATTGGTGGAGCATGGAGCTTCTGTAGGGGAAAGTCCTGCAGCAATAATTAAGAAATGCAAGTATACCATTGGAATGTTGTCTGATCCGGCTGCAGCCCTTTCAGTTAGTTGATAATTGCTCATCAATAATTTATGTGAATAACCTTGTGATTTGGAGTATCTCAGTCATAATGCCATGTTTTGGTCACATTTAGGTGGTTTTCGATAAAGACAGTGTTCTAGAGCAAATGGGTCCTGGAAAAGGATACATTGACATGTCAACTGTTGATGCCGAGACTTCCTCAAAAATTAGTGAGGTTAGAATTGGCTGCCTCTACTGAGTCTTCTGTTGTGTAAACTTGAATTCTTTGATGTGCTTTCTCAATGATACTTTCTGTTTTTGGAAGCTAACAGAATTTAAGTGAAGTTATCTCCCTCAACACACGTGAAAACGAAGCACAACATACATATTTACATGCATGTACTTTTTCATGAAACAAATTTGGCTCTGAAGATTAACTTTCTAACTTCCAGATAGATCAGATCGCAGCTATGAAGAACTATTTACCCTTTGAATCCTTTACATTAGTGATGATGCAGTAGCGTTGTGCTCATCCACGTGAAACATAATATGGTGACTGGATCTTTTAAGATTTTTAAGTCAATTGATGTCATCGATCTCCAAGCTTCTATGGATGCGTTTTACTGATGGAAAATGTGTATTTATTATTTTAATTTTAGCTTACATATATAATTCTTGAATTTAATCAGATGGAAATGGGAAACGGAACACGACCAAGAAAGGTACATTCATGTCGGTCATTAAATACTATTATCTTCTGATGCTTTCAGGCAATCACGTCAAAGGGTGGTTATTTCCTTGAAGCTCCAGTGTCGGGTAGCAAAAAGCCTGCTGAAGATGGTCAATTGGTGATTCTTGCTGCCGGAGAAAAGGTGAATTCTCTCGTTTCATTTGTCATTTCCATGGTTGATGTCCTAAGGCTTGTTCACCATATTCTATTCGTAGGAAGATATAAATGAGAATTGAAAGGGATTTTGAAACTATACTTGGATTGCGAATCAAAAGGAATTGATAAGAACAGTGGGGTGGACGGCTCTTTTATATGCCTGCTTTCCCAGTTACAGATCCTTCGCTTTTAACTAAACAATGGAAAGAAAATCATTTTTTCTCATAAATTACCTTTTGCTTAATGTCCCTTTCCTTCCTCCTACCAAACGCAGTACCAGTGTTAGAAAGATAAAGCAAGAATCCCTTGTGGTTGATACATTTAGCCAGTGATTTTTCTCCAGGTACACAGCTGCAGAATTGCTGCGGCATAAATTGGGGAATTTGAGGTCTAATTAACTGAAATTCCTTCATAGCTTTATAACTCATTTGATTAGAAATGAACCTAACATCATTTAGGCTCCTAAAGGAACCTGCAGAAACCCTCTTTATTTGGAATATGCACATTTGATGGCAGTTAATATCTTACCAATAAGTCATTAAATTTAGATGCATTGACTTTAAAGCATGAATGTTTCTTGAACTGTACATGAATGCAACAGCCGGTAACTTTTGAATTGATCCTTCTTTTTGGCTGGAAATGAATGAATGTTTAATGTTCTGTTTGTTTGAATTGCAGGCACTGTATGAAGAAGTGCTGCCTGCTTTTGATGTCTTGGGGAAAAAATCATTTTTCTTGGGACCTGTTGGAAATGGTGCGAAAATGAAACTTGTCGTCAACATGGTAATGGGCAGGTAATGATGCCTTCATTATTATAACACCTTACTCTGCCACAAATTGCATATCCTGTCTCGACATAATTTACTTTTTCCTTAAGTCAACTAATAATCAAATGATGCTTTCACATACTAACTTCACTTAAATAACAAAATCATTTTGAAAATGTTCAACTCTTTCCTTAAAAACTTTGGCCTTCTTAAAGTGGGTGTTCAATTATGTAAAGAGGAAGTAATTATTTCTTTACCTAATTTACGTTGTACAATAATGCTTCCCAGCCACTGTTACCACCCTCACCACTCCAACCATCACCCCTATATATGTTTGATTTAACATAATGGGCCAGGGTGCCCTCTAATTCTACTTATGGTTAGTGCAGTTTTTATATTTTGGTTTGCATGTACATCCATATAGCTAACTGATCGAACTTAACTGAATTACATAAAAATTCCAATTTTCATCTCAACATAGATATTTCATGAAATTGTTTTGATGTATTGAACTGACTGATCTTGTATCACATAGTTTTTGCACTCATACCGAATAATTATGCATTCAAGTACTTCAACAATTTGTTTTACAGTTTTTCTGCTTCTTGGAAGATATTACTTTGTAGTTGTCTTTCTATTTTGCAAAGATGTTTAAGTGCTGTTTGGACAATATAGTGCACAAGATTTAGTTTATTCTTACTAGTAGCGACTTCTATTCAATCCTCATTTCCAAACACGTTGTAGGTGTCTAATTGCTGGCTTGATGCTTCATTTACTATTTCCTACTTTGCAGTGTGATGAATGCATTCTCAGAGGGTCTTGTGCTGGCCGACAAAAGTGGATTGAACTCCCAAACACTTCTTGATGTCTTGGTAAGAACACAGACATAGATCCACTGCATCCTTTCCACCTTCTATTGGCATTCAACTGTTTTTCTGGTTGGTTCTCCCTTCAGGACCTTGGCGCAATTGCAAATCCAATGTTCAAATTGAAGGGGCCGTCTATGATCCAGAGTAGTTATTCCCCTGCCTTTCCTTTGAAACATCAGCAGAAGGACATGAGGTTGGCTCTTGCCCTTGGGGATGAAAATGCGGTGCCAATGCCTGTTGCAGCTGCTGCTAACGAGGTACCACATTAGTTAATTCATGCTCATTTATTATGATGCTTCCAGTTGTTAAAACAAGCATTCAAACTTTGTAGCCATTCTCATTACGGCAATCTGGGCAAGAACCGAGAACACGGAAAATCACAATACATGAAACATGTTCGATTTTATTTTCTTCAAATTTCAATTGTTCCTTTGTGTGTAGGCATTCAAGAAAGCCAGAAGCATGGGATTGGGGGACCTGGACTTTTCAGCTGTTCACGAGACTGTAAAAGGTTCCAAAAGTTCAGGCTAATACTGCTCATCTGAATTGGGACTCGTAGCATTTATGCGCAGAAATTTCTCCATGATCGTGGAATATATATAGCATTGTGGTCATACTTGAAAGCAAAAAAAAAAGATTAATTGGTATATCCACAAGTGCATTGCTACGCGTGGAAGATTTTTCTTGAATTCCCTTTGATTTTGAGATTGTGAAACTTTTGAGAATATTGTGGTATGCAAAACCAAAATATTTCAGAATAGCACAAACAGTACAGAATATTGTGACTAAAATTATCCGGCACTAACGAGGCTCAGGTGCAATCATGCTGAGCCAATACGGGTAATTCCTTGCAGACTAGAAAATATTTTAGCTCACGAACTTGTCCACACTGATTTAAGTCTCAACATGTGTCGACCTGTTCATGCCGTGATGGCTTGCATTTGATTCCCTAGAGTCCCTCTTCCAGAAAATGTGAGAAAAAATCACTCAAGAAAAATGAACCGTAAAGAACCCTGTTTAGAATTGAAGTATTAGGTTGATTCTAGCGGTTAGTAGCCAACCACGTGAGATGTGTTGCAAAGTTACGAAACACTTCATATTAAGTTCTCTTATTGTGAGGACAAAATTACACAAGTCGCTCCACGTAAGAAGGAGAAACGGTGTCTTTCCACATTCGACTCCAGTATTTGTACTGAGTGTTAAAACTGAACGAGCTCAAAAATCTCAATCTGCAAATCTCTACCATTATCAATTCTCCGACTTGGGTTTGAATATGTTCTTGTAGTACTTGAGTTCTGCTATGCTTTCCTTGATGTCATCCGGAGCCCTGTGTTTGCTTTCCTTCCGAGAAGCATTTTTGTTGTATAGTCATATTCGAAAATGAAGCAGCTTCGGAAATTCACTAGAGCTAGAGCATGTTTCATTACTGTTAAAAGTAAGTAGAAGTCATGTTTAGGTGACTGTGTTTTCAAATCAATTCGGATGTTACTTTTTAAAGTTAAAAGTAAAAAATGGTATAATTTTGAAAGTAAATCTTATCTTAATTTCAAAACAAGTAAATTGTTTATTTTTAAACTTGCTTATTAAACTTAGTTAAACATGCTCCTTAAAGTCGATAAGAAGAATGATGTATGGGAGCAAAATGAAGTGTTACATTCCAATAACATCATGATAAGAAAAATACTGTTGCTAGAAATATGAAATAACATTTGTTGGAAGGACACACTTTCTCCTTTGTAAAATCAAAGCATAAGCCTCATCAGTAAGCGTATATTACTATAAATTTATAGGATAGATTTCAGGTTAAATCTCTTACTTTATCTAGTTTGTGTCTGCTCTTGAAATTTTTCCAGGAGTTAACCGCTTTACATGATATTACAAATATAATCCCACAAGAAAGGATACCCAGCAGTTGGTGGTTTACTCTCATATAGAGATTCATTTGGGAAGATATGAAGTTCTTTTTTTCATTCTGAAAGCAAGATATGTAATTATTTGGTGGCATTCCTGTGAAGAAGGATTTAGAGTATTGTGCAATTGAATCATGAAAAATTATATTCTTGTGTTTTTCTCCCTATTCAAACCGTCAAATCAAATCTATATCTACGCGAAATAGGGATGATTAACGAAGAAAGCTTGAACATGAAGATATTAATGCATGAACAAATTTTAGTTTTTACAGATTGCTAAACTTCCAGCCACAGAAGATGGGAAAACACATTACAAGAATCAAAATTCAGAAAACGCAAACTGAAGATAGCACAATAAAATGAGAAGAAAATATGACTACAGAAAAAATTACAGCAAGAAAGGATACAGTTACCTCAATTAACTTGGTTAAATTGCTATCTGAGTATCTGTAATTATACAAGCAATTTCTAATATTCTATCAACTTCAATATTCAAACCAGCAAAAAAGAAATAACGAGAAAGGATCTCACACAATTATAGCGTTTCTTCTAATAAATCATGATTTAAGCAATTGTTTTTCTGCCATTTGTCATGAAGAACGCTAAAGTAAACTAAGCAAAAAGGGATTATTTTCTATGCTGTCTATCTTGGTTTTCTTTTAACCAGAGCAAGAAATATAAAAAGACGAAAACACAAATGTAAAAGCAAGAAAGTTTTCAGCACCCCCGAATCACAAGATTAATTCGTCTGTATTGAGGCAAAGGATACAAGAAATCAAATTAGAAATCAAGTATGTATGTAGGAACTGGAAGAGATCCTGTTAGCACTCACAAGGCTCTTTAATTGAGAGCAATGAGGCTACAAGGATTGAACTTTTTAAGTCATGGAATATATAATCTGTTAATTGAAAAGACAAAATGAAATATATACTAGCCAATTGAATGCAAGTGACAAAGCCCCACATTACCGTGAAAATGGACTATTAATAGAAAAGGAAAACTATAGGCTTAGCAGAAATAACCACCAGAAGAATATTCCATTCCGTTTCTTTTTCTTTATTTTAAATTGAGCCAAAGGGAGATTAATTGTGAAGTAATGCAAAGCTTTAACTGATTTTACAGAAGTAATTCTACTTTGGCTTAGAGAGAGAAGAAATTATAGAGCCAATCATCCTCTAGTGGATCTACTGTAAGCTTTTAGTAACAATCACCCACTCCCATAGCTGTCCGGGAAAAATGTACAACAGGGACGATAACTTAAGAAAAGAATGTTGGAGAAGACTAACGTCGGCAAGAGAAGGCTATTCAGAAGAAGAGATCAGCACAACACTGCATACAAACTAAAGAAACTGAGCATTTTTCAGTTTTTTCTTTTTCAGGGGGATGTCACATCACGGCCATGGAACCTACTTACAGAATAGACAAGGTAGGTTGAAAGTGAACCTGAAAGGTTCTCCCACAAACACAAGGACATGGCATATTTACATGAAAGTCAAAGTGCGATGTGCAGGAAAATAACAATGGAAGGAACAAGTGAAGCAGGCAGGTCATGGAAAACCAAACCTGGAGTAAGGAACGAAAAATGAGTACATATTTGAACCACTTTTACTTTTATCAACGATCGGGAATCAAACAGCTGCTAGGACAAAAAGGAACTCTTGGTCTTTGCTTTAAGAAAAGAGTGTCAGCACCATTCGTGCTCCATAATGAAAAGATCTCAGTTTTTGTTATGGGATAAGAAATGTGAATCGGCCAGCAATTGCAACCCAACTACATTAATGGATGAGATCCCTCATAACAGCCCAAATTCAAGTCAGCATATGAAACATTCCAACAAACAACGAAGTAGGACTCCTCTTCAAAACTAATAAGAACACAGTTAGTTTATATTCTAGTAGGCACAGCCTGCCTCAATATTTGGGTATACTCTATCAACATCTATAAGGAACTACCATTACATGGTGATCCATGATATGCAGAATACCAATATTCATTTCAACAGCCCGAAGATCAAATACTCGCCAGTCGTTTCAAGGTCAATCCACACAAGTGGCGACTTGTACTCTTCTCGAATCAGTTCAGAGCTCTGTTCACCCTCGTTCCCACTTTTTGATGAGTTTCCATCTCCTGAGTGGTTGTCTTTTATCTTACCATTATCTGCATCATGAAAATAATTTTTCTGACAAACCATGCAAACAGATAAAATACTATATTTGTCCATGGTTATGCAGAAACGGTTGAATGTTATAGTTTCATCGTCATGATACTATTTAGATTTTGATTAGCCTTAAAATTTGAGAAAAAAATTAGATTTATTCTTCATGTAGTAAGCAACAGACCTTTCACCCCACATTCTAAAAATAAGGGAACAATAGAGAAGACTCCAGTATCTTTAAAATAAAATCATTGCGGACCTTGTTTCTTGACTCTTTCACCATCACCATCAGCAGCGGTGGCAATCATAGTATGTTCCTTAGCATCTTCCATATCCAGCTCAAGCACTGAGAAGGCATTTGACAGCTCATCCATTTCTTCTAGAAATATGCTACTCTTTGTTCAATAAGCTCCTGGAGACTTACTAACAAAAACCCCAGCATGTGTGGTAGTCTGTTGGGGTAAATTAATATAAAGAAATAAAATCATTACTCCTGTTTAACTTTGTGGAATGATAACAATGCTGAAACTTAAGAATTCAAGACCAATTACTAAACTTAAATATTGCAAATACAATTTACTTTCCATCAGAAAATGACCAAGCTGATGAAGATGTATCATATATAAATACCCACCCACCTCCTTCCCCAGTCTCTCCATACACTATGTAATAGTTTAATCTCTTTATATACTTGATAATCTACTGTAGCGTGCTTCCATGTGTTGCTTGTAAAGTTCCTCCAATTTATTATAATTTGCTTTTATCAAAATTAAGAAAATTTCATTTCCTCAATTTGGTTAGTCTTGGTAAGCAAAGTGAAAAATAAACACAGTTTAAAAATGGAGTATGAAAGTGAACATTTATCAAAAAAGAGCCAATTCTTCCTCAAAAAGTCAAAGTGGGGGTGCCTTTGAGGCTTGAGGAAGCAAAAGGGGATTACATATTACATGCTTTGATTCTTCTCTTCTTTCTTCTTTAATATCCTTGTGTCCATTGTATAGGTTTAGTTCAAAATCTTGGTCGTCATATGGCTTTTATACATATTTTAGACTAAAATAGTGTCAGAAACACTCAGTAGTTGGCAAAACTCAGTCTTCACAAATCACAATAGCATATAATTATGTTAATTAGTTATTAATATTGTGTGAAGTATATAGTTCGTCGATATTTATTGGGAACCTGGATTAGTTTGTTATTGGTGGTGTTGTATTATTCGTCAACAATAGACAACAAGAACGACGCCAAGAAACAAAATTTCCACAGACATTAGGCTTCTCGTTAACGCGACAATTGCAAAAATAATTGAGATTGGGGCAATTGAGGGGAAAGGCCACCAAACCGAATATTTTTGGAATCATATTTTTTCTATCCGACTGAAGCTCCATTTTTTTTTTCACACAAGCAATCCCCATTTGCATGTGGAAATGCGAGTTAAACATGTCGCCGCAGGGACAATGTTGAGAAAGGAGAACAATGTGCAAAGATAGCAACCATATTAGCTCGATAAAAAATTTTTTTAGCTTGTGTTAGCTGCACATTTTTTCAAAATGAAAATGGGATTTCCAACCGTTGTGTACACTTTTTTAAGCCAAATGTGAGATGCAAGTTATGGAAATCATGTCAGGTGAGCCCAAAACGGCTTTATTTCTTTTGAAAGTAGAGGAAAAAATGGGAAACAAACAAGGGCTTAGACTTGGATAAACACTAATTATTTTAGAATGTGATTTGAGATTTCTTTAATTAATCATTTCAAAAATTCTTAATGAGATAGATTTTATGAAACGATTTAAGGGAAGTGGGATTTCATTGACCTTAAATTAAAGCATCCTGATAGAATTTTTTCACAAATGGTTGGATGGCAACATGAAAGCTAAGATCTAGGAGATTTTTTTTTTTTTTTTTTTAAATCCTAGCACGAAGACTCATCGACCCAAAAAAGTGTCTTGTCAACATTGAAACTTGCGTTATTTTCGAGAAATCACTTTCTCTCGTTAAAAACCCAAGATGGACAGTCGGAAAGCTTTAAAAATGTAATCCAATGAGATAATTGTTACTAAAAAAAAAATTTAAAATTTGCATCTCCATAAAAAGTTACGGCTTTAGGAAAATGAAAGTCTTCTTACGAATGAAATGATAAATAAAAATTGACCAAACTCGATATCTTTATCTCGCTAATACATCCTAAAGAATAGATGCTTTTTCGAAGATAATTTTGAAGACAAACTTCAACTCGCAAAACTCGATGCTAATTACCAAGCAACAAATAATATGTAGTTGCTTATACAAATATTAATATTTTATATTTTTAATTAATGGAAAGGAAAAAATAATATCTCAATGATTCCAATCTATTCCACGTCCGTTTATTGTATCCTCGTATTCGTACAACCACCCGAAGTGGCACGTGACAGTATCTCAGAAAACGGGCCGGGGTCAAATCACAGACGGGCGGGTTTAGGGGTTTTTGGTATTTGGGGCAAAGGGTTTTTCTTTTTCGACTCACCCACACACCCTCTACTGCTACGCAGCCGCTCAAGAAGAAGAAGAAATCACTCTTCTTCTTCTTTTACTCTTCAACTCCGTAACTCGAATACCGTCAAATTTCCAATCGGAAATGGCTACACTTATCAATCCACCTACTACTGCAACAGCTCCACCGGCGGCCGGTTCTAGTCCAGCAGCGGCCGAAGCGCAGAAAGTCGATTACATGAACCTTCCTTGCCCTATTCCATATGAGGAGATTCACCGCGAAGCTCTCAGTTCGTGCATTATCTTTTAATCTTAATTTTAAATGCTGTCCCTTTTTTTTTTTAATCTCAGCTTTAGATTTTATTTTCGCGATTTTCCCGTCCGTTCTTGATTTATTGTTTCTACGTAATGCTGAGGGGTAATATATAGTTTTGATTAGTTCTCCCTTTGCATTAAATCATATCTAATTAGAATGTCAAGCCCGGGTAACGATTCATTTCATTCTAGTTCACGGGCTTAGTTCGAATCCAGTGTTACAGTGAGGAAATACTAGGGAAATCATTTTTAACAGTTTGGCTCGAAAGGAGGACCCTGAGTAAAGGTGTATTCATAAATATGTATGGAACCTAGACCTATCTTATACAATTATTTCTGTCCTTTTCAATGATATACGACATCATTCAAAGGCTCAACATTTATTTCATTAGAAGGTAATGAAAGTGAAATTTAGTTTTTGCAGATTTTGCTGTTTTCATCCATGAATTAGGATTCAAATGGAGGCCAAGTATTTTTTATTTTTATTTTTTTTAACCTGAGAATTTTGTTTGCTTAGGACAATGCGGGAGCCAAAATGCTTGAATGGAAGATTCTCGTATTGCTACCCACTTCTAAAATTTTGCCATTTTTATTCTTTGATCTAAATGGTTAAACACTTTGTCATCATAGAAATAAATAAGGTATAATGGAGTTGCTTTCTTTTCTTCTGCTAATAATGAGCCAAGTGTTTTCCATGCAATTAAGAATAAATGGTAACTTAAAAATATGCTGAGTAAAACTGTAGGGAGGAATGAATTTAAGACCAAAGAGAAATCTGTCTCTCAATTACATAAAGGATTGTTGTTCTAGAGAGATTATTTGCCTCATTGACCTGTAATGAGTTGGCTCCACTTGTAAGTGAGCTGGCTTCACTTGTAAGTGAGCTGACATTAAATGCGTACGTCTTTTTACACAGCATAAGTTGTTACCCTTGCACATGGCTCTGTGAATATGCTTTGTATTCTTCAGTTCTAGAAATCTATTTGTTGCTTGGTGTAATTAAGGCGTCCAAAAGTGATAGGACGGGCTTGGGAATTTACCAGTACCATCTTCTGGATCGCAATATAATATTTTAAATATGAACTTTGCTTTCATAACCAAGAGAGGTTGATAGGTATATAAAGGTTACTAATGTCACTGCATTGATTTTATAGATGCATTAGTGAATGGTTCTATACGTTCCTTGCGAATGAGAATGTGATGTTTACTCTATTTTGCTTAAACCAGCTTATGCTGGTGAAATTCCTAATATTGAGGATACTGAAAATGCCACGAAGAACTGAATATGGATGTACTTTAGTTTATGATACACAAATGGAGAAAATACTAATGAAATTGTCATCCTGTCTGAGGAGTTAAAAGTACAGCGATGGCTTCATAACTTAGTCATCAGATTTTAGCCTTCTACCTTTTCAGAACTCACAAGTCTGAACTCTTCCTTGTGTTTCAAAAGTTATTATCAGACTGCTAACGATTTAAATAAATAGTTTGAATTTTGATTCATGTAGATTCAATTGGTGAAATGCTAATTGTCTTGGATGTAATTGGCAGTGTCTCTCAAGCCAGAACTTTTTGAAGGGATGCGCTTTGATTTTACTAAAGGGCTCAATCAGAAATTTTCATTGAGTCACAGGTAGTTTTCCTGCTACTATATTAATGTTTTTACCTGTACTCTAGTTCCCCCTTTTTTCTAATTCTTTTTGGGTGGGGTTTCCTTATCCTTATGTTAATGATTACCGGATGTGCCTTTTGACTGTTCATCAGTGTGATGATGGGCCCCACAGAAATTCCTTCTCAGTCATCTGAAACAATTAAAATTCCCACTGCTCACTATGAGTTTGGTGCTAACTTCATAGACCCAAAGGTTTTTATGTTTTCCCTTATACTATTCATTTGCATTTACTGAAACATGTGGTTTTATTAATTCACGGGGCTTGTTCTTTGGCAGTTGATGCTTTTTGGGAGGGTATTGACAGATGGGAGAGTGAATGCAAGATTGAAGTGTGATTTGTCCGAGAATCTTACTATGAAGGGCAATGCTCAAGTACAATCTATTTGTCAATTACTCAATGATCTTTTTCCCATTACAATTGTTTAAAAGCTGGTGATAAGTGTTCGTTTTTTCTTTAGCTTACGCATGAGCCACATATGTCACATGGCATGGTCAATTTTGATTATAAGGTTAGTTTTTTAACTTCTTCGAAAGTTATAGCATGTCGTTTGGATGCATTTCAGAAATTTATGTATTTATTGTGTAACCTTGTATCTACATATAAAGTAATGCACTGCTATATGGGTATGTCCAGATGGCATGCAACATCATACATCACATATAGTGGCCAACAACTGATGCCAGTGTAACATTTTGTGTGACAAGTTAGGAGCTAATTGTGTCCCCATTTTAACTTATGTACAGGGATCAGATTATAGGACTCAATTTCAATTAGGAAATGGAGCCTTATTTGGTGCAAGTTACATCCAGGTAAATGATCTCAAACTTATTTTCAAAATTTCATTTTCGATTACTTGTACATGCACTAGGAAACTGGAGATTCTATTTATGGAAATATGTACTTTATTAGCTTTTCAGTGTTTATAAATACAATTTAGAGACCTCTATGACGTTCCGTGTGAATGAATTTTTTTGAGAGATTGAATGGCACTGAGCATTCAGTTGAAATAGATGACATGTCTGCCTAAGCATACTGGGTTCCTTTCCCTCTAGTCCACAAGGATTGATACCATATTCCAGGACTATGAGAGCCTATTTTATGAAGCTTGCTAGTTGCTACGCCACCCTTGAGAGAAATAAGTGAATTCCAACGATCTCGAGGTTGTAATGCATAGTATTAGAGCAACTTGGATGAAAATCGTGAAGTGCAACAGGAATTCTACAGTGTTCTATGCACTGGCTTATCTCCTTGATCAAGGGACTGGAACCTGATTTTTCAAATGTAAATAACGTTGTGAGCTTGTCATGAAACACTGCTGTTTCATACATTACTAATTGAAAGTAGAAAAGAAAGTTTGTTATTGGTAGTAACTTGATTATCATGCTAAACATCTGTTGACACTTCTGATGAAATGCCATATTAGCACCCTGGTTAATGTTGTTTATGAATATGTAAGCATTTGTATTGTCATCTTCAGATTTTATTCTTAATCACAATTATTTTGTAGGTTTGCTTTCTGTCTTATTTTGTTAGCTAAGCAACTTTTTATGAGATGTGCCACTTGTGACAAACCATCTCTGCATGTCACTCGTTTTATTCCAGTAGTTTTGAATAATGGTGGCGCTTTTGTATCTGAGAAATAAAAGGCTGTTCAGTCATCTTAATGTAATTGTTGTACACTTGCAGAGTGTGAGCCCTCACCTGTCATTGGGTGGTGAGGTCTTCTGGGCTGGTCAACATCGAAAATCTGGCATTGGATATGCTGCCCGCTACAACACAGACAAGATGGTACAATTTTCTTCACTTTCTATATGAGACTTGCCCTAAATTTGATGCACATTTATCTTATATATTTAATGTATTCACTTGATGTTTATACCTGATCTCAATTAGTTGGTATTCTTTTTTTTTTGCAAATATAGTTTTCATTTCCTTTTTAGTTGCTCATTCAAAGGGGAAAAAGTGTGTGCTTGGATTTTTTCTTATACCATTAAAAAATTTCAATTTTGATGCGCATGTTTTTGTTTCTCTCTAGTTGAACAGTTTTCGATGTGTAATTGTATTTGTTGTTTAACTTGCAGGTGGCAACTGGACAAGTTGCTAGCACTGGGATGGTTGCTCTAAGCTATGTTCAGAAAATATCTGAAAAGGTGAAATTTTTAGCAGTTTGTAAGATATTATGTAGTTTGGCATGTGTAAGTTCCATTTTTGTCTCTTATCTGTTCTTGGAATGGTATCTTACATGTAGGTTTCTCTAGCATCAGACTTCATGTACAACTATATGTCTAGAGATGTTACTGCTAGCTTTGGTTATGATTACATCCTTCGGCAGGTAACTTCAGACCCTCATGTTCTATAGAGTTCCATCCCTTTCATTCAGTTTATCATCACTCATATTTATATTTTGTGATCTCACATGTTGTGAATGAGCTAGTAATATGGTCAGATAATGTAAAATAGAGCATTGATGTAATTTGATAATTATTCTCGTCCAAGTACATATGACACAGTCCAGCATAAAAATGTGAAATTTAATCTCCACTTTTTTTATTGTTGTTAGAAGTTAGAACTCTTGGAATCTTTCATTCTGATGGATTATTTTTATCTGTAAGAGTATTTACTATTTATTGACACCCTCTCCTTCTGCACAAGTAAGATCATCTTCATACATGCATCTCATCATGGTCGGAAAATATTATTACCTTGGCTAGGAGATTCAATTGCTTCCATACTACTTGACATCTGTTCGTCATGCATTTGAAAATTTTCAATCTTAATTGTCTAGAACAGATCTTTGATACCAACTTGTTCTGAGTCCTCTTAAATGACTGATTTTTCTCATTCATCTTACAGTGTCGTCTAAGAGGAAAGATAGATTCTAATGGTTGCGTGGCTGCTCTTCTTGAAGAGCGGTTAAACATGGGTCTTAATTTTATTCTTTCTGCTGAGGTAAGGATCAACTCATTAAAAGATACTGTTTTATTTTAATCACGGCACTGAAGAAAACTGAATCCCCCTTTTATCCCTTTTTTCTTTTCCAAAAAAGTGGAAGTGAACACTTGTATAATAGGCAGTTATCAATTGGAAGTGAGCAACATGGTGATTAATTGCAATTGGTCTAAACCTTTGGCTAGTGAATACCTGTCCCTTTGTCTTACCTTTAGAAGAAAGAGGGTGTCTTTGTACAATCAATCCTTTCTTTTGCTCTCTTTGCACTTTGACATCCTTTTATTTATAGGTGAATTCCTGCGATTCCAATAGTGCAGAAGTAATACTGGGTCCTTCAAATAATTAGGCCATGTGCAGAAGTACATTCAACTTCACATTTATAGGTTATTTACCTGAGAATGAGCTGCTTGAACACCCCCCCCCCCCCCAAAACACAAAAAAAAAAAAAAAAAAAAACTAAAAAAAGAAAAAACC